TCTATGGTCTGCTGGGGTAATAATATAGTGTAAAGCGCATAGAGCCTGCTGCTGAGCGGGGATATGCGCTATACAAATGCTATCTATTATTATTATCATTTGTGGACCAGATCGCTACCCTGAGCATCATTATTGAGCAATCACTTGAATGGAATTCACCACTCGTGATTATGAAAAGGCGTTTGACAGCGTGGATAGGGAAACTCTGTGGAAACTCATGCGGCATTTTGGAATACTTGACAAAATAGTCAAGCTTGTGAAGACCACCTATGGTGGAACAAACTGTCTCGTCTTCCACGAAGGACACGTCTCAGAACCACTCCAGGTACAGGCATGAGTGCGACAAGGATGCTAGCTCTCACCATTTCTTTTTATACTGGTAATTGACTGGATCATGAAAGTAGCCACCAGAGGCAAGCGCAAAGGAATACAGTGGATCCCTTGGCAGCAACTGGACGACTTGGACTTCGCCGGTGACCTTGTACTGCTCTCTCACACACATGCTCAGATGTATGAAAAGACCAAGGAACTCAACAGTCTATTAAGGAGTGTTGGCCTACGTATACACTCGGGCAAGTCGAAAGTAGTGAAGCTAGGAAAATTGCCAAGCCCTGCTGTGACAGTGGAAGACACTCCCCTGGAAGAAGTGGACTCCTTTACCTACCTTGGAAGTGCCATCGATGGTAATTGTGGAACTGAGGCAGACGTAAAAGCAAGAACTGCCATTGCAAGGTCAGCATTCAACCAATTATCAAAAGTCTGGAAAGCAAGCAACATCTCACTGCGAAGCAAGATTCAACTCTTTAATTCCAATGTCAAGTCTGTGCTCCTCTATGGTTGCGAAACTTGGAAGACAACAAAGACAGTGCCGAATAAAGTCCAGACTTTCATCAACAGATGTATGAGGAGTATCCTAAGAATGAAGTGGTAGGATAGAATAAGAAATGAAGAGCTGTGGGAAAGGACTGGACAAAAGGATATAGAAGTAGAAATAAGACAAAGAAAGTGGTGTTGGATGGGACACACCTTCAGAAAGCCCAGCAGAAACATCACAAGACAGTCACTGCAATGGAACCCACAGGGAGCACGAAGAAGGGGTAGGCCACGGGAAACATGGAGGAGATGTGTGGAAAGGGATATGAGAGAGATGAAGTTCACTTGGAACGAGCTAGGAAGGATTGCCAAGGACAGAGATAAATGGAAGGACCTTGTATGTGGCCAGGGGTGAAAGGCACTGATGATGGTGATTGTATAATAATATATATTTTTTATTATGCCTTTGTATGTGCTCATTTCGTAACGATGTTTAAGCGTGCGCGTGTGATAAGCTAGTAGATGTGTGTTTGTGTGTGTGTGTGTGTGTGTGTGTGTGTGTGTGTGTGTGTGTGTTTGTGTGTGTGCGTGCGTGGGTGTGTGTGTGTGTGTGTGTATGTGTGTGTGTGTGTATGTGTGTGTGTGCTTTTTCATCTCCTTACATGTTAGATTCCCAGGTTCGAAAGCAATAATGAGATTGTAAAGTTACCGGGCGGTCCGATGAGTCAGGTCTGCCAGCGGGCCCCCGTCCAAGGTAGATGATGCCTTGTCCCTGTCCTGTCTGAGACTCAATCCCTCAGTGAGTCTCTCAGACGATCTCCGCCTATGTTCCCGCGGAACCTTGTGATGTCATCCAAGGGCGTGCCACTCCCTTAATGATCTTGTCCCCGCAGTAAAGATAAGAGTCATGTCCCTTGACATCACATCCCCCTCACAAGCAACTTCAAGAACAATTCAAAATGCTAAACGCATCAACCAGAAACTGAAACTATAACTCTGAAACCTTATAAACACTTTACACAGCAGGAACTTCGCCTACAAGTCGAGTCTCTGCGGAGGCCTGGCATGGCGTCCCGACCTCGTTATGTAGTCAGACGTAGTGGAAGCATCATAAAGGGTTGTGTCTGACTCTAGTGACTCCGCTGGTAATTCTGGCTGATGGTGAGGCAACATAGAAGAGAAGACTCTCTGGGGATCACGAGATGGTTGCTGTCGTCGCCTTCCGTCCTCAGTCGGATCTGGTGACGATCACGAACCTTCAAGCCGTTGTTCGTTTTCAAGAGGTATGATCTGTCTCTCGATCTGTCTACAACCGTAGCCTTGGCATCTCTTGGGATTTTAACCCAAACTGGCTGTCCTTTTGACAAGTCTGACATGGGCTTGGCGCATTGTCTTCGATCGTAATCCTGTTTCTGCCTCTTCCTGAAAGCTGCGTCAATCTTCCTGAACACCTGCCTTTCTCCCCCCTTTGGGACCAATTTTTCTGGGAAAATGGGCACTCTTGTCCTGATTTTCCTACCCATTAGAAGTTCTGCTGGGCTCTGTCCTTGCTGTAAAGGAGTGGAGCGGTAGTTCATGAGAGCCAAGTAAGGATCATCAGACTTACTCAGTAACATTTGGATAGTTTTGACGGCTCTTTCAGCTTCTCCATTACTCTGAGGATGTAGAGGGCTGCTTCCCAGGTAAGTTAAACCATAGTACATGTACTTATAACTGTGAGCACTTTTGAAACTCGCGTGCAACGAACTGGAATCCATTGTCTGAGACGACGATTTCAGGAACTCCATATCTAGCAAAAATTGACTTGCAATGTTCTACGACATTTGAAGCAGTAGGGTCTCTTAGATGAGCTATCTCAATCCACCTCAAGTGTTAGTCTACTATCAGGAGATATGTGTGACCTTTCCATACAAAAAGATCTATACCCACCCTTTGCCACGCGTAGTCTGGAGTGACTGTCGGCTTCAATGGTTCCGGGCTGACCTTTCTTTCTTTTTCACAGTCTGGACAGTTTGTAGCCAACGTTTCGATTTGTTGTGACAGTCCAGGCCACCATACACTGCTTCGAGCCAGCGCTCTGCACTTGACTGGTGTCCTTCGTGAAGACGTTTCAAAATATCCTGTCTTAGTATTGTGGGAATAACAATTCGGCACTGGTATAGAAGCAAACCTTGTTCCACAGTCAGCTCCTCTCTCAACGTCCAATATGGCTTCATAACTGGATCGACTTTGGTTGTCGCTGACCATGGGGACCGAAAGTATTCTTTTAATTTCTTACAGATTTCGTCTGCATCTTGCTGCTCTCTAATTTCTTGCAATTTCTTGTCACTTGCTGGGAATCCTTCCAGGACAGATCTGAGGTGTAGCTCACACTCTTCTTCCATTTGATGATCTTCTTCACCGGAGCTCCTGACATTGCATCGGCTGTTACCCAATTTTTTCCTGGTACATGGACGATGTTGTAGGAAAACCTCAACATTCTCATCCTAAATCTCTGAATGCGAGGGGTCAATTCATCCTGATGCTTTGTTTTCATCAGTTGAAGAAGTGGTTTGTGCCACCTGTTACGTTTCATTTTGATGAAAGGGGTACGTTGGCTTTGCATTGCTTCTGCTGGTTTTCCCTGTTATGTTGTGCCAATTCTGTTCACTTGTTGGGGAACTAGAAATCCAGAATAGATCTAGAATCTACTCAAATAAAAGACTCTAAGTCTGGAAATCTAGAATCTCCAGACCCAAACAAACAAACAAGCCACAGTTCCAACTCAACACTGTTCATAGTTCAAAACATCTTGATTCTAGTTAATCCAGACCTATTACCACATCTAGATAATCTACTTCTGTCCAGATCTTTAGTTTCTAGCTCCAGAATCTAGATCTAGATCTAACATCCTTCCCGTTTTCAAACAGTTATCTGCCTAAACCTAACTAGTCTAGACCTCTACTCTCACAGAGCACTGTTTTTGATAGATAAACTCTAGCACTTCATTGAATTTGGGTGTTTTCTTGAAGTTGTTGGCTGTTCAGTAGCCACTTCTGACACCATGTAAAGTTACCTGGCAGTTGGCAGTCCGATGAGTTGGGTCTATCAGGGGGCCCCCGTCCAAGATAGATGTTGCCTTGTCCCTGTCCTGTCTGCCACTGAATCTCTCAGTGAGTCTCTCAGACGATCTCCGCCTATGTTCCCGCAGCACCTTGTGACGTCATCCAAGGGCGTACCACTCCCTTAATGATCTTGTCCCCACAGTAAAGATAAGAGTCATGTCCCTTGACATCACATGAGATAAACAAAGAACGCTATACATTGTAAACTTTTTGTAAATGAATTTAATATCAAGGTAACTTGTACGTAACAAAGATGTCATCATTTCAAAACAATGTTCTGTATTATTTTGATGTAGTAAGAGTTCAACGGGACTTGAAAACACAATGAGGACATTATAATATAATTTATGAGAATTGCAGTGTTGTCCTCACCTTAATCTGTCAGTGATCGTCAATTGTATTCCTAATTTTATGTTATAAATATAAAACATAATTCGCCACTTAAAAACGAACGAAGGAGTGTGCTACAAAAATGTTAGGCTAAACTTGGCGTTGATATCATCGGAATACTTATTCAATTGACTTGCTTTCAATAAGAAAAAATACCCATCTATCTCAAATAGAAGTCTCGGTATTTGCGTTTGAAAGGGATGGAGTCACCAGGTGTCAGTGGTATAATTACAGAGAAAATGGCGGCAAAGTATGGTATCTTCTATAGCTTGAGAGTCCTTGAAAACTTAAAAAAAATTACATATTGTGTGCCTTTAAACAACGTTCTTCAGTAACATTCGCATAGAAATGTGTTTTCCTATAAATGTAACAAGTGTTGAGCTAAAAAAAACCCCACTTTCATTATTTTCACGAGTGCCTGATTTCACCACGCTGCCAAAAGTGTATGATTCTGTCCCTCATAGGGTCCTGATGTAGCATGGATGTGCAGATATCAATTATCTCTAGTCCTTTCTTCAATAATGATCAAATATTTTCTTCGTGGCTGCAGATTAATACAAAGAGTTTTGTTTCGCTCCACCTTTCAGCTCTGAGCCAGCCCCACACAAATGACGATATGTTGCCTCCAGAAGTGAGACAGACAAATGAACACGCTTTAAAATGATACCCAACAACTTTTATATTCCCCAAAATTAACAAACGCCTGTATATATATATATATATATATATATATATATATATATATATATATATATATATATATATATATATATATATATATATATATATATATATATATATATATATATATATATATATATAATAGGAAATGCTTATTTATTTATTTTGAAAATTGTTTAAAAACTTTTTAATTAACTTACTTATTTTTTCAGTTTTAAAATTTATTTATTTATTCATACATTGATTAAGGATACTATTTGTTATTACTGCACTAGAACACAGACGTCGTACAAGGTTGTACTGACACAATTTTCTTAATAAAATCACTAAGCTACAAATACCAACGTAAAGCACCCCGGTTTTATTCCATTTCCAAAGGCTTTCATAATTTAGGCATTAACTTCGCACAAGAACCGCCACTGCCAACCTGAAGTATATATTAAACATGCAGAGTCAATCATTAACTTCTGGTTTGACCACATAAACAAACAGTTTTCTCTCAGTCCCCCATTCGGCTCTGAGCCATTCCACAAAAATGACGTCATATTGCCACCAGAAGTGAGAAATGTCCACCTCCCCTCATGACCCTCGTCTGTAGCACCCAGCATGACGCCTGTAGAAACAGAACCTGACACAGAAGAGTTGGAGAAGTCCGCCAAGTGCTGGAATTCTTGCTTGTCGTTGATCTCCGCCAAATACCCGCCATAGAGCCGGCACAGACGATTGGCTTCATGTACGTTAACCAGTATTGGTTTGGAGAGTAAGTAGTTGTGGCCCCGATAGCTAGTTGTTGTGGAAATTATGGCGTCTTTGGAGTTTTCCACTCGAGTTCTGAGGTCGTTCAGTGTGGAGTTCATTTCTTGTTCCCTATCTTCTATTGCTTTTATCTTTGCGTCTGTTTCGTTCTCCTTGGCATCTGCTGCATTTATCTTTGAATCCAGTTCCTTGCCCTTTGCGTCCAGTTCTTGCATCTTTGTATCCATTTCCTTCAACTTGTCAAGAACCATGTCAAAGCCGATTCTAAGAAAAAAAAAAAGAAGTTTATTTTCTTAATCCAATATCAGAATAATTTTTCATTCAAATGTCAGTTCCGTGTACAGGGTGAAAAAAAATCCCAACCCCAAACAAAACAAATTTAGGGCCTACAACTTTTTAGTAAATATGTTCCTCCACACTAAAGCTGCACTTTACATGAACTTCCCACTTGGCTCGGTCTTACCGGAGACGGACGTTAAACTAGGAGGTCCCGCCCCTTAAATAACATAGTAGTGTTGTAGGGGCGTTAAACCCATACCATTTCACACTTTTTACACTAAAGATGTGTGTTTAAAATTTATACACGCCATTTGAAAGTCAAAAGGAATTTGGCTGATGTTCATTTTAAGATCCTCATCTGCCAGTGCCAGATCTGCCACTGACATCGGCGATCATGGTTCTCCATTCATTCCTTTGCTCGGATGCTCTAAAAATCTACTACGTTTCCCTTATCTTTCCCTGAGTTGCCCATTTGTGTAGGTTCCCTAAGTATGTTGTTCTGGGCCTACCCCTCCTCCTTTGTCTTTAATTTTGCCAGTGATAGCTAAATATTCAAGACTCTTATGTCTGTTCAGGTGTCCCAAAAACTGCATCTGTCGTTTCCAGATTGTTCTTAAAATTGAGCGTCCCACGTGGGCTTCATCAAGCACTAACTCATTTGATTTCTTTTCCTTTCATGATACTCTTAGCAGTCTCCTATGAAACCACATTTCTGTTGCTTTTTATTTTATTTTCACTGTCTTTAGTAATTATCCAGCATTCACAGCCATATAGAAGGGTTGACCAAACATAGCATCTCAGAACTCATTTTGGTGTTCATTGAGATGTTTCTATTTTTCAGGATTGGGCTCACATTATTGAAACTAGCCTTAGCCCTTGTAATTCTCCGGGGTTGTTTTTTTCAGTTGAATATTTGGCATCAGATGTTGTCATATATCCTATATATTTAAACTGTTGGACTTGTTTGATCTTTTCACCTTTGCTAATGAGATTAAAAGTAGGATTTGCTGCTTTTTGGATATTACCATGCATTCTGCTTTCTTTACATTCAACACTAAACCTTTACGTTTACTTTCTGTTACAACAGTATCTAGAAGCAACTGGCTGCAAAAATAAACAACTTAACATTTTAAGATAAATCTACAAAAATAGTTTTGCTCTACATATCACTTAAAAAGAACAACCTATTTTCAGATTTGTACCCATTTTTTTTGCAACAAGATACAATAGTTCAGGCTAGGCCTATCATTAGAAGTCCCAACGATCACGCCATATTGCAAGCTACAAAAGTCTAAAAGGGCAACAGAATACTGGTATTCTGAAGTTTCCTTTTCTTGTTGAAATCATGTTTAAGATGAATAAAGAACAGATACATTTTTGTATTGGAAATGATCTCGCCACAAACTAATTTCGGAAGTTTCCCACAGGAAACGGAAGTAAGGTGAAAGTGTCCTTAAGGCCTTCTTTGAGGCCATGGGTGGAGATGTTCCATCAGTTAGGACCTGTAGAGAATCAGAACTAAAAATTCCCAGACAAAACGACCTCTTCAGGTCACACACACACACACACACACACACACACACACACACACACGCACACACACACACACACACACACACTTAATATGCGTATTCTTTTAAACGTCACCAAAGTACAGAATTCAATAGATGAGTCCCAGGAGACCTCTGTTGATGGTGTCCTCAGCTAGGAATTCCCTATATATATCTCAACGGACCACATTCTCAACGCATGTCTTCATCAACGACTGTACCATTTTCCTGCTCTTAAAATTGACATGGATCCAAGGACAGCAATAAGTTTATTTCTCGATCATCTTTAAAAACGTGAACATTTCCTCGATGTCATTTGGTTCATTGGCAAAGCCCATACATGTTTTCACCTTTAAGATATGATAACTCCACAAATGTTGTCTATTGGGCAACCCCATCCATGCACCATATTGTGTCTAGAAACAGCCCCATACTGTAAGGTGTGCATGTGTCTTCAGTACTCATTGTTCGGTAGGTCCTTAGGTGTTTGGCCATCACTGAACAGTACGAACGACGCGGTAGAATATGTCGAGTTCAAAGGAGGACATAATAGAGCACTGGTTCTAGGAATTCAAGAATTTCACAAATATTTGTTAACTCTCTAAGAGAACATAAAATATTGTTCATATGTTACAGGGACGGAAACATTTAAAAATAGATAAAAACACACACACGAAAACAATAATTTCATGACTTTCCTTACAACATATTTTAAATTGGTGCATTTTTGCGTTGATGGGTGTTTTTTTTAAAGACATTTTTTCCCTCACGAATTTTTAGTCAAACAAATTCCTTTTGAATGAATGATATTATCTGTTCCAAAGTATAACATTCTATAGATCAAGTACATAAATTGTAAAGTTTAATAACATTTTTGGATCACCCTATACTCGAAACACTGTTTTTCACATTCAGTCTAGAAACTGTGTTTGCAGACAAGGAAAAAGCGTTTGATAGAGAAGATAGCAACAAACTGTGGCAAACACTAGAAGATTACAGCATTAGGGCATTAGGGGACAACTATTGGACAACATTAGAGCCATCTATACCAACAGTATGAGAACAGTCCTTACGCAAAACGGAATCACTGACGGGTCCGACGTGTCATCTGGAGTGAGACAATGGTATGTGTTATCACCGCTACTATTTATAATGTTCATGGATAAAATTACAAAAGAAGCAAACCCCAACCCGTTAGACTTGAATGAGATGCAGTTTGCGGACGATCAGAGCCTGGCATGAGAAAGAAGAGCAACTTCAAGAGCACACAGACAGGCTGAATACACAATGTGAAAAACTCAACATGAAGATCAGTAACAGCAAAACGGAGACGATGAAAATCAGCAGAACACCTGGCAACTTATACATCACCATCGATGAAAATCCGCTTAAACAGCGAGTTCAAGTATCTTGGTAGCATCTTTTCAGAAGACGGACGTCTCAACAGAGAAATTGAGACGGGAGTACAAAAGTCTAACAGCGTCAGCTACCAGCTTGCATCATTCCTTAAACATCCTAACATCCCCATTGAGACCAAAGCCAAGCTCATAAACTCTATCGCCATCCCCATATTGACCTACCAGTGCCAGACATGGACCCTGACCAAAGTCTGGAACGTAAGAAAACCACCTGCGAGATGAGATGTCTAAGGAGAGCTGTGAACAAAACCAGACAGGACATGGTCAGAAACAACATGATCAGAGAAATGGTGGGAACATTACCTTTCCTCCACTACATCCGAAGGCAAACAATCAGGTGGTTTGGGCATCTCACACGTATGGCACCTCACCAGCTTGCCAGTAAAGCCTACTACAGGAAAGTATCAGGGTACAAAGTAAGAGGAAGACCAAGAAAAACCTGGATCCAGGGTGTGAAGGACATCCTGACAACATTCAATATCCCACCCAGCCAGGCCATCAAACTTGCTAGAGACAGGAAGCTCTTTATCCCCATGACGCCCTAGAGGTACAAGAGGACGGATAAAGTGAGTAAGTAAAGACTAGAAATTAGATCCTTGTATTTTTTTTCTTCTTTTAAAGAAAGTCCAAAACAGAAGTGTTCTTTGAAATATTATATTGAATAAAAGAAAAACTTTATGAATTCCTGGACTTTGGTCGTTTGTCGTCATCATTGTCATCGTCGTCGTTTTTGTCGTTGTCGTCGTCGTTGTTGTTTTTGTTCTTGATATTGTTGTTGTTATTGTTGTTATTGTTATTGTAGTGGTGTTGCTGGTGTTGTTGTTCATGCTGCTGTAGCAACATGGAATTATTCGAGAGCTCTTTCGAATCGTCTCGCCGTTTTTGTATACCTTAGAATTACACAGTTCTGACATTTTTGACCGTTTTGAGTTACTAAGACCATGATGTCAGAAAACATCTTCTATTTGCTCTTGAAAGATCGTATGATTGTGCGAGGTCGTTATCAAGATATTAAAAGAATTGCATTTAATAAAAGCTTGACATGTTGTGAAACTCAAAGCTTTGAACGTCAAATGTCTCGAAACTAGGTACAGAGCGGACATAACTTGTATAATTCTGAGGTAGCTATTCGGTCATGAGGGGCAAGGTAGCCAACAAGTGACCACATCTCGTCCACAGGATGTTCAGATGCATCGTGCCCAAACATTTTGGGGAAACATTATTTTCTAAAGTAAGGTTGTTTTTTTTTTTAAAAAAGGTTTAAAATATAATGGTTAAATGTGCTAAAAAAATATTCTGTCAAAATTCATATTCTAAGCGTTTAGAAGTTGAGGGGAAAATACATAAAGTAGACACAGTTTTTGAAAGGAAGAAAAAGTTTTGCTTCTTTCGAAAAACATTGAGATTTCTTGGCTTAGAACTCAGTGTGAAGAAGAAGAAGAAGAAGAAGAAGAAGAAGAAGAAGAAGAAGAAGAA